AGGGTGGTCATTGCAGTAGCCCCACACGCCCAGAATTAATGCAGATTTGTTCCAGGAGTGGGTATAAGTTTGAAGYCTTTTAAAAGTGGTTAACATTCATTTATGCAGCTCATCAGCTACCACARTTTTTATACATCTCATAGCACTTATCTTCAGTTACTGCCTCCACAAAAAGCACAATAGTTGGGTTCTATCTTGCAGCGCAAGTAGGAGGAAGCCTTATTAGCAAAGTGTTTGACTAATAGTTTATTTTGTAGACAGATGCTGAACGAGAGTGTTTAGCTCAGCTCTTCACTCAAGAGCAAGGAACAATGATTAGGTTTTACTTAAGACGAGATCAATCTGGCGTTTCTGAGACTATTTCATATTTAGAGCTCCCATCCCTATTGCTGACATCAGTGAGAAAAGGCTGCACTTTGCACCTTAGAACCGCTCTAAAATTGGGGAATCTATCCTTTGGGAATTTTGTCCTGCAGTTATAAAGCATTTCCTACATCACAGCTGAGAAGTACCATGCAAAACCCATTCCAGATGGGAAAGCAGGATCAAAAAGAAGCCAACTCTTGACCTGGGCAGTGGGGGACTTTCCTTCCGTGGTTCCTGCGCTGCTGGAAGCAGCAAGGGAGAGGAAGAGGCCAGCGGGGCAGTTGCAGCTCCAGCAGTTCATGCCAGGGCCACCTGCTTCCTTCGGGTTCGTGTTCCTCAGAGCCCGCTCTCCCAGTCGATGCCAAGTGCTGCTTCACCRGAGAAAAACGTGCTCAGGGTTCCTTCATCTTTTCAGGGTAGTGATCAAAATTGCCAGCAGCGGCACTTGGAAGCTGTGCCTAGCTATGGAGAGAAGAACTAACAAGACAACACRGAAGAAAGGATTTTTCTCCCCCGAAATAAACCACATTTTTGATGTATTATCTTTCTCCACGCTTTAAAGCTTAGCGTAGGAAAGGAATCTTCCAAATGTGATTAAAATTGTCTTTGATGGTCAACAGTGTAATGCTTGGGCTGGTCTGGTCACAACTGCACTGAGATCCAAGCGTGTGGTGACCACAAGCAGGTGCTGCATGGGGCATCTCAAAGTGGACGGTTCTTCTGCCAGGCCGGGTTCTGATGCACCAAGGAAATCAGCAGATTTATATAGAAACAGCCCTGATTATTTCTCAACAGGGTTCAGCAAGAGGCCCAAATCCATGAGTAGTTCCAAAGGAAAAGGAGTAGGAGGTGCTGATGGCTTTTCTACTTGTGTGAGATTGAACTGTTGAATTCGTGTCATTGCCTCCTGTAGCCAGATGGATGCGTGTGCTGAGACGAAGACTTGCATGTTTTAGGATTGTGTGAAAAGGGTGGCAGATGTGAGGGAAAGACATTGCTGCTGTGTCCAGCGGGAGGTCCATTGGAGCRTCAGCCCCTGTGAGGCAAATCTCCATCCTCTGCACGAGCAAGAGGAACACGTGCAAGAGCCAGGCCTCCACCATGGACATCATGCTATCCTAGGAATCACTTCCTAGGCTGTTTGGAGGGTGCCTTTTCCAGCTGATGACCCATAATTTTGTGTATGAGAGGTGGAGATGAGCGATCCTTAATGAGAGTGGTTTCTTAATAAACTCAATAACTGCACTGAAGGTGGATACAACATTAAGGCTGTCTCTTAATCAGCTAAGAACTACTTAGATCCACTGGCTTTGGATCATACATTGCTTCTTGCTGCCTTGATAACCATCTAAATAATTCTTAAGTGAGAAGCTTGTCTTTCTTTTTTTCTCTCCCCCCTACTTTTTAAACAAAAAGGTAGAATCAGCAAAAGATGTTTCAGAAACTGGATGGGAATGTTGTCCTATCTCTGTCTAAACAGTGGGCAGCTTGAAAGTAAGAGAGGACACCAGATAAATTTCTGGTGTAAGTTACTGGAAAGCCAGGTGGATAAATCGGGAAAGAATGAACAATAACACAAGGAGAAAAGCAGGGTTGTGGCACACGCCTCATGGAAGGGGGTATGTGATGATGGCTGGTTGTACCATCCAGGGTAGACTAAAGCCAGGAATGCTATGGGAGGCAATGGATAAGGAGCACAACAGGAGCGGTTTCTCCAGGGGCTGCTTCCGCGTGCACAGCTGGAGCCTCGCAGGAAGGTGTTTGCTTTGGAAGGGATGGAAGGTCCCGCCACGAGGGTTTAGCACCTGCAAGTGCTCTCGGTGCCCTGCGCAGTCCCAGTCTAGGAGGCAGGAGGCCTGAGCCATTTGCTCAGCTGAAACATGTGGAATGTGGGAATCTCCCCCATGAACTAGAGGTATTTATAAAAATGTAGCCTGATGTGTGTTCCCAAAGGAAATCTATCTGCACAGTGAGATCCAGGTTTTCCTATGATTATGATATACACTGAGAATATCCTGTAATTTAAATAAATGCTGGGGAAATTTGTTTTGTTTTGCATTTAATTTGAATTTCATGGCACAAGGCCTGAATTTCTAAATGTTTTGCACACTGTTGGGACAAGATATGGGGTGCAAGGAATACCATATGCAGTAGATCCCTGCAGTCTCATAAAGTCCTGTATAAAATACACAAATATTGAAGGTATTGAAATTGAAAACTAAATGAAAAAAAAGTCTTTGTTTTTAAGCTTTCAGTGTGAAATAGATCAGGCTATACTATATGAAGAAAGAAGTTATCTGCCTTCAAAATGGCTAAGATACTCTGCAGGGAAAGAGAATTTGCAATTCATGAAAAGTATTTGAATAGCAAAATGGGAAGTAAAATGGGCAGTAATACAAAATCCAAACATACATAAAATACTTAATCACARTCTATATATGGATTTTACATCTCAAGAAGGTAATGTAGTGTATTCCTTCTCAAGGACACCTCTGAGTCTCCGTAACAGCCTAGAAATCCAGATTCTGCATGAGTTTATTTCTAGCAATAAAGTAAGCCCCCTCATTCCAAGTATCATCACAATCCTTACTCCAGCATTTCAAACTTTCAGCCAAAAGGGAGCAGGAGGTGCAGGGTCCTGCAGGGATGAGGGKCGCCAGGACGGAGCTCGTGCCAGCGCAATGTTCCTCATGAGGCGGCGCTTTGAGAGGGGCCGGCTTCTCACCACGACCCTCTTCAACTTCCAAGAGCCACAGAAAGCTGCCGATCAGTCCTCTAGTCCTTAAATGCTGGCTGAATATTTCCAAATATTTTGTAGAACTGAAGAGGCTTTGCTCTTATAAAGCGGTGGTTTTAAAAAGCCTCGCAGAAATGCTGACTATTCCAGCAGCACCCTCCCTCCTCTCCTCGTTAAGATTTTTGACACGCTGATTTTTTCTTGTAAATGTAAAATTTTAGTGGTAGCTTCTGTTTAATGGGCGGTGAGGATTCTCAGCACTCACTTGCCTGGGCCCTAGAATGGAAGGAGCTTCACAAAGTGGCAGGAAGGTGCACCTCAACCTTCCTTGCATGAATATTTTCAGTGCTTTAAAACAGCAACATCGCTTAAATCAGAATATCTATCCTCCTCAGTGAAAATTTCTGTAGTAAAATACTTACTTCTGTAGTAAAATACTTACTTATTAAGTAAGTATTAATACCACTGTACAAAGCTGTAGTAGGGACTTATACAGAACGCCTTGCTGTACAATGCTGATTTGGAAAGATCACGTCTAGGCAGAATAAATTCGGAAAAATAAAAGCTACACTGATGATCAGGGAACAAGAGTTGCAGAAAGCAAACTAGAAGGAGCTTGGCAGATATATCCATGAAAATAAGCCTGTTAGGGCATATGGTTACTGTCTATAAATACACCACACAGACAAACACCAAGGAAGAATTATTTAAACTAAAGAACAACGCTGACGTGAGAAAAACTTAATATAAATAAGTGATAAACAAAATTATGCTAGAAAAATACTGATCTGGAGGATGGTGCAGTTCTGAAATACTCTTCCAAAGGGGAAGCAAAAAATCTGGCTACTTTTGACATGGAGTTAGGTAAGTTTATGGAGGGAATTTCTATGTACTGCATAAAGTCGTCATGATAATGAGAACATATTAAATTTCGGTACTTTATTTATTTAGTGTCTTTGATCCAAAGCACTTATATATAAAAAAAAAAAAAAAAAGGAAAATTCCTTTCAACTAGTACAGTAAGAGTCATGATTCCTTGGGGTATTTCATTTTCTTTAGCAAAATGCAATTTGGACACGTTCCATTCAATATTTGCAGAAATGACAGAGCATCGGCCTCATGAGTCATAAATCTACGACGTAAGATAAACTGCAGGTTATTGAAATGATGTGTTGCAAAGCCTGGCTCCGACCTTTGCAATGCTGGACTAGCAACAGCTGAGGGAATTCGTGGCTCTTTGGCAAGGTTACAGCTCTCTCCAAGTGACTGCCCTGAGAGGCGGCTTTTAGCTCTGTGAACCTACAGCCTGAGAAACTGAAACGAGCCCCCTGCTTCATGCTAGATCCTCCATAAGCCCCGAGCCAGCGAGAACTGCAGGAGCCTTGAAATCGGGGGGAGATTTGGGCTGATCTTGCAGACTTGATCCCAACAGTGGTTTATGTCCTTTGKGAGCCCAGCTCTGCCCTCTCCTATTTCTTTCCCGGTGCTTCAGGCTGGCTGCCAGGCTCGTGCTACGCTGCGTGTTGGTGGGCATTGCCAAGCGTGTGATGCTTTGCAATGTGCAGGGAGGCGCAGGAACCCAACTATTAACTTGTACTGGGGTCTGGCAGAGAAGCTCAACCAGCTCTCCACAAGCAAAGCCYTAGCAAAACATTGCAAATTGCGATGCCTAATTCAGGTTATCCAAGCCTAGATGCAGGAACAGGTACAGAGCTCCCTGCTTTTCAGGGGTACTAAGCCCCCTTCCTGCCTATTGACTTTAAATGCTTGGCAAGTTACAGTGAAACCTCTCAGAGTTTCATTTGGGGAAGGTTAGAAGAGACCTGTTTCCCTCAGGACTTACGCTCTAAATCAGCTAGGACTTGATGTGGGGGAAGGGTGCTCAAAGGATATTTTAGGTGTAAGTTATTTCACAGATTATGTTCTGTGATAGGTCACTGGGCAGAGAGGAACCTGATCCTGGGTGCTCAATTTTCTGTTTTCAAGTGAAGCCAATAAAACACCAAAAAATACAGGCCAGACAACAACCTCTAGGAGACTAATAAAGGAAAACACCTATTTGTACTAAATCTGCTCTCTTCTGCTGGTTGGGCTATTTGTACTCAGGTACTACTCTTAGTTGTGGTAAGTAAGCATACGCTTCCATACAGGACAGTCTATTTCCTCAACAACCTCTCTGGTTTTCACAACGAAAAAAAAAAAGGAATATTATATGGAATAAACTGACTGGGAAAAAAAAAAAAAAAGAGCCATCATGTTCAGTGAGTGTCAGTAGTCTGTTTTATAACACAAATCATGAGCAACACAAAGGGTGGACGGACGGTGGTGGGTTTGCCTGTTGGCTGTGTGTGGTTGACATCTGCACAGTTACATAATGGACAAGGCTGCTCACTGAACCCAGACCTTTACCTTCACCCAGCCCCACGGCTGCTCTTGAGAACCCAGGTGATCTCCCCTCTCACATTTTTTGAGAGGGTTTGAATAGACTAAGTCCTTGAAGCAGCTAGGAGCAGGATCTGCCAAGAGCAAGTGGAGTATTAAGTGCTTTATCTGTTTTTTTCCTTAGGCCCTGGTACTTTCTGTTAGTTGGAAGTTGTGAGTTCTGTTCTGAGTGTTCTGAGTAAAAATATGACTTACTTTTTTTTTTCGCCCCCTTAGAGTTTCCTTGGCAGAAAGCTTAATGGAATTGTCTGCCCTCAACACCTGTTTTCAAGCTTTCCTGATAAAATTAGCTTTTATATCTCAGGATCACATATGGCATCTTTATAATTAGTCTTTTTGCAGTATATGAATGTCAGTTCCTAAAATGCTGCCTGTGCTGTTCATGTGGGAATATTTCTCTTCACTAAACCAATCCAAGTTTTCCAATGGTGCTTCTAATGATTGAAAACCTACATAGTTGTGTGCCTAATCTCAGACCCATTTTGATGAGCTGAGTATCTTTAGCTTCACTGGAACTAAACTACATGCTCACAACCTCTGCAATTGGAAGCCTAAGATGTTTTCAGGGGCCTCCATAGCTAAAGCCACTTGTGGAAATGCAGTCTTTGAATATGTAGCTACCTGGAACTGRGCAGCAACCTTCTCCAAAATGCTCAGTATGGACCTATCTGGGATACAGAGTTATGTCTATGCTTAAGAACTTCCAAAAAACACCACTCTCTGTACCATTTCAAAAGAACATCCCATTTTTAAGACATTGGCACGAGAATCAGCAAGTTTCCATGAAATGTGAAGCTCAGAGGTATTTATGGACATTTCATGATAAGAATTACCAGTCAGAACAGTGGGGATGTCTGCTCCCATGTTAGTGATTCACAGGTGTTTCCGAAAGCTGCAGCAGTGTCCTGTGTTAAAGTACATTGCAGGTCATACACCTGACTTGAGATGGTCTTGAGCTACCAGCGTAGGTGATGGCTGGTTTGTTCATTATTCATTTCACAGCTGAGAACTTTTATTCCATTTGGTCAAGTTCCTTTCCCCTTTCAAATGAGGATTTCTGTGGCAAATGTACAAAGTACCAAATTACACCATACTGCCAGCACTGTTATGAACATGGTAACAGCTGTACGAAAAAAGTCAGCATTTAGTACCTATGCAACAGGATGACAATGTGCAAATTCTCCACTTGTAATACAAATTTCATTAGGTTTTCAAGTGCAAAGTTAGTGCAGTGTCAGCAACACTATCCTCTAGGAGAAACAAAAAGGATGACAAAGAGGAAAACATTTATAAACACAGCTCTTGAAAGCTCTCATGCAAACTGCTGTCAAACTCGTAGGCTAATGCAGTGAATCATTCAGGCTCAGTTCACTCGGGCTGCTCCGGCTCATATTGGTAAGACTGGCCATGAGGGACTTCACTTTATAGGCATAGTAGTCCCTTAAGTTGACTGATGGARCCTCCTTCATGCCATCACCAAAATCACAGCTCCTCATAGCACTCTCTAACTGCTTCTGACGCCTATAGAAGTGCGAGAACTTATTGAAGATGAGTGTAATAGGGAGCACTACCACTAGGATGCCGGCTAGGATGCATGCAGAGGCCGTCAACTTGCCAGCAGTGCTCCCTGGTACCACATCTCCATAGCCAACTGTGGTCATGCTGACTGTGGCCCACCACCAGCAAGCAGGGATGGTGGCTAAGCCCTCGTTATCTTCCTTTTCAATRGTGTAAGCCACTACTGAAAAAATGGAGATGCCAACAGAGAGGTAAAGCAAAAGAAGCCCTACCTCTCTGTAGCTGTATTTCAAGGTGGCTCCAAGAGACCTGAGACCTGTTGAGTGTCTAGCAAGCTTTAAGATGCGAAAGATCCTCATGAGCCTCAGGACTTGTGCCACCCTACCTAAATTTGCTAAGGTTGGACTACTTTCCACCACCAAGTTGACAATTAAGGTAATATAAAAGGGAAGGATAGACATGAGGTCAATGAGATTCAGGGCATGCTTGAAAAACTTTAAAAAGTCAGGAGCTACTGCAAATCTCGCCACCAGTTCAAAAGTGAACCATGCAATACCAAAGTGTTCCACGATTTCAAACCGAGGGTCTTCCTCGGGGTTCCCATTGCTGTCCACGATCTGAAAGTCTGGGAGGCTGTTCAGGCACATGGTCACGATGGAGCCCAGCACCACCACTATGGAAAGGACACTGAAGATTCGGCTTAGCACTGAGTAACCAGGGTTATCCAAGGCAAGCCAGAGCTGCCTCCTGACATTTCCAAAGGGTTGCCTGTCAAATTTAGAGGCATCGTTGTAGAAAGCCAAAATCTCATCAAAAGATGACGTGGTACTTTCCTGGTCACTTTGTTCTTCCCATTTCTCCTGGTCTGGCTCCATTTTCCTCCCATGGTAGCTGTAGCTGCAGCACGAGTCTATAAAGAATTCATTGATTCCCCAGTACTCGATCTCCTGGCTGAAAGAAAACACACAGAGTTCACCCATCACATGGAGCTTCCCTGTGTTGTAAAAATGCAGCACGTAAGGGAAGAGCTCGGGGTTCCTGTCGAAATAAAATTCATTCTTGGTGTCGTCGTAGTCATCGCAGAGCTCCAGGATGGACTCCTTGGAGTGGCAGCTCAGCAGTTTGCCCAGCCTGGTCTCAGGGAATCTCAGCAACGTGTTGGACCTCATCTTTTTCTTAAAGCCTCCGACGTTGATGCTGATCTCATTGTCCTCAAAATTAGCCTCCGACAAAGCCTTGAGGCTCTGCCCTGTCATAGCGAGCTCCTTCCAAAGGGGCATAGCGAGTGAAAATCTGGGATGCAAGCGAAGAGAAAAAGCAGCAGAATGGGCAAACCCACGGCACGCTCAGCAGCCGACTCTCCCCTTTCCTCCTTCTTCCTTTTTTTTTTTCTTTTTTTTTTTTCCCCTTTATTTTCTCTCTCTCGGTGTCTTTCCCTTTCCCTCCGCCTCCCTTTTCCCCCTTTCTCCCTTTCCCCCCTTCCCCGTTGTCAGCCCAGGC